CCTGGCCCTTGAGCGCTCCAGCTGGAGGTCAGCTGTGACCAGCGGTGTTGTAGAATTTGAAGAGGCACGAATGGAGGGTGAAAGAGAGAAACGTGCCAGGAGGAAGGCGCGTCAAGCCAACCCCGACCGGGACCGCCTTCCACCTGGAAACCAATGCCCTCACTGCGGAAGAAGATGCAGAGCAAGAATAGGGCTCCACAGCCACATACGGACCCACAAGAATATTGGAAGACATCTTACTCGTCCAACGAGGGATCGCCTAAGTAAGTAAGTACAGCATATCTAGACCGACACAGAAGCAAGTTAACATTTCAGCTTTCTGGCTTAATGAGGGGATGCTCAATTCCGGCCACAGGGGGAGCTGCTGCGTCCACCTGTGACATCGAGTCCTTGATGGAGTACTTCCTCATTCTTATGCATGCTGCTGGAAGGTTTTATGCTATCGTAAATGAGTTAAAATTAGCCTTCCGGCTTAATTAGGGGATGCTCAATTCCAGCCACAGGGGAAGCTGCTTCTTCACCGTCCACTTGTGACACAGAGTCCTTGATGGAGTACTTCCTCATTCTTACGCATGCTGCTGGAAGGTTTTATGATGTCGTAAATGAGTTAAAATTAGCCTCCCTGCATAAAGCAGTACCTAAATTTTCTACTTGACAGATGTGATTGTCTTTCAGGCTATATAGGTCAACAGCAAGCTAGACTATTAATGGTCGGGAGCTCACTCCAACCTGGAATGGCTTCGAACTCATGACCTCTTGGCTACTAAGTAGCTGCGCCACAGCCCGGTCCACTATTGTTTGATTCCACAGTACTCTCTGGATGTAGGTGAACTACAACTCCAGAACTCAAGGTCAATGCCCACCAAACCCTTCCAGTATTTTCTCTTGGTCATGGGAGTTGTGTGCCAAGTTTGATTCAATTCCATCATTGGTGAAGTTCAGAATGCTCTTTGATTGTAGGTGAACTACAACTCCCAAATAACAAAACCAATCCCCCCACAACCCCACCAGTATTCATATTGAAACGTATAGGGTATTTGTGCCAAATTTGGTCCAGTGAATGAAAATACATCCTGCATGTCAGATCTTTACATTACGATTCATAACAGTAGCAACATTACAGTTATGAAGTAGCAATGAAAGTAATTTTATGGTTGGGGGTCACCACATCATGAGGAACTGTATTAAGGGGTAGCGGCATTTCAGCCTCACCACACTACAGCTTCCATGATGCCCTGGTCTAGAGCTGTGGCAATTTACGGTAGTGCCAGACTTCATTCATTCTACAACAGGCAAGGGCAAACTTGGGCCTTCCAGATGTTTTGGACTTCATCTCCCACAGCCTCAGGCCCTTTGCTTTTCCCCCTCAGCTGCTTAAGCCCAGATCCCACAACTGTTTCAATATATTGTGATGTTTTGGTAAGAAATTCGTAAATACAGTAATGTCTACATAATGTCACCATGTATTGAACTGTTTTTTTCTGTCGATTTGTTGCAAAACATGATGTTTTGGTGCTTAATTTGTAAAATCATTAGAACAAATGCAGTCTAATACTACTTTAAACTGCCACAACTCTAGACCAGGGCATCATGGAAGCTGTAGTTTGGTGAGGCCCTAAAGCAACCTTCATAATGCCGTAATTTGACATTTAATAGGCTTTTCCTTAATCCCTCCTTATTATCCAATATTTTCACTTATTCAATGTTCTGCCGGCCCGTTTATGTTGGATAAGTGAGACTCTACTGTACATGATTTGTTGTGTATTTTTCATTACGCTCGTGCAACACACCTACACTTGCATCTACTGTGTTGCAACACATAGTATGGAAAGCTCTGATCCACAGAGCAGTGTGAGTATATGCTGTAAACAAGGTTCTCACAGAAATCAAAGACTCATAAGGCTTGGAAGAGACCACAACGGCCATCCAGTCCAACCTCTGCCATGCAGGAAAATGCAATGAAAGCATCTTCGACAGACAGCTACCCAGCCTCTGCTTAAAAACCTCCAGAGTAGGTGATTCTGTCACGCTCCAAGGCAGCATAAATGTCAGCTATGGTTATAATTGCTTTACATTCATACCTATGGCAGCCAGTTAATCCAGATAAACAGTGTTTGATTTGACTGATTTAGGTTTTACATCTTAATTGGTTTGTAGGCTGAGTATGTGGTTCTTCAAGTCCTGGGCTTGATACCCCATCATTCCATCTCTTCTGGGATGGAAAGGTACATGATACTATTTAGATATCTTATGTCTAAATATTAAATACTGCAGTATTACACAATTTAGTCCAAGGAATGTGAGTGACCTTGACCATACACTCCAGCATTTCCCAGATGAAAACTGGCAATATTAGAATGAGTTCAAAATAACACATGGAAACAGACAGAAGCTAGGAAAGTTGCAAGCATTTAGATTTTGCCTGAATTCATAGTGTTGCCAGTTTTCAAAATAGTAATAAGAGACAGTAAAAATAAATTGCCATTAAAGAAGCAATTATTAGCAAGTTTGTGTTCTACATAAATTCCAAATGGAAGTATTTATTTCAGTTAATTTTGCCATGTGTTTCTCCACCTAATTAATCTCCTATCCATGTTCATACATTATATAAGACATTAATTTCTATCTTTATGAAAGGCTTACACCCCAACACATTGGGCTTCCTATTGTGGCAATGTTCAAAATAGCCAAGGTACTCCCTTGCAACATAAAAAAAGAGGAAGGAAGGAATAGCGGGGAAAATAAATGTGGCAGCAACTTTAAGACGCTGCTTTTTATTTTTGCGTGAGCTTTCATGGACATTAATCAATTTCTTTGCTTGCAGTACCAAATCATTCCAAGTGGCTTAGATCCATGAAAGCTCATGCAACAGTAAAAACCATCTAATCCTAAAAGTATTGCCACATTACTTTTTCTCTTTTGTACTCCAAAATACAAAAAATTGAACATTTTGTTTTTTATATACAAAAAGGAGGGCTTTCTAACCTCCTATAAGGAACACCTACCAGTTCTATAAAGCAAAGCTTCTTAAATTGTGGGTAACAACCCCATTTGGGGTCCCTTAACTGAATATGGGAGTCACAAAATGTGTCTAGTTTGCCACCTAGTGGCCATTTTAAACTTTAACTTGAAGCTGTTAGCAAGGACATATAGCAAATGCTTCAGCATTACAGTAGAGTCTTGCTTATCCAACCTTCACTTATCCAACTTTCTGTATTATCCAATGCAGTCTGCCTCCCTCCTGGATCCATAGGTGAGGGAAGTGGAGTATATATTTACCTGTGGATGGGAGAAAGAAAACCCTTGTCTGTTTTGGTACTAAATTTGTAAATATAGCAATTACTATATAATGTTATAGTGTATTGAACTGCTTTTTCAGTTGATTTGTTTCAAAACATTATGTTTTGGTGCTTAATTTGTAGAATCATAGGTTTTTCCTTAATCCCTTCGTATTATCCAACATTTTTGCTTATCCAACGATCCGCAGGCCCATTTATGTTGGATAAGCGAGTTTCTACTGTACTTCATAAAAAAAGCAAAACCAGCATATCTTGTTTAGCAAGGCTTGTGAATGCTAATTTTGCCTGGTGCTGATATTTAAGTTTCAGAAATGCTTCCCTTCAAATGTTGATTCTAAAAAAACTAAGTTGGCCTCATACACCATACTCAATTGAAATAAAAGAAAATCAACCATCTACTATTAAAAGTTCGAGAAGAATTTGCCTGCAGTCTGTGCAGGGAAAGGGGGGTTAAGGGCACATATTTGGTTTTGTGTGGATTGTGTGCATCAGACCATGATGGAAACGAGAGAGGTGGGGTTGTGCCTATTTCAAGTACTCTGCAACTTGGGACCTTTTAAGTTAGAGGTATGGACTCTCAAAACATCCCAGTTCAGGAGAAAAAGAGCTAACAGTAGATTCTATCACCCGAGTCTGCAAACCATGCATGTCAGTATGGCATGAAAATGTTGATAATGCTCTACATCTTGCAAATATTCAGCCAATATTTAAATCTTTATGTTAAAATAAACAAGCACATCCATCTCATTAGTATGCCAATTGGCTTTCATTTTTAATAAATAATAAAATTATACCAAATAATTGCTTAAAAACAAATTCCTTTATGATTTAACATAAATATCTGAATTATATACCTATTTTATAAAATTATACAAAGTTACAAAAAAAAAATCTCAGACAAAAAGGGGTTGCATGTAGGAAAGGTTTAAGAAGCCCTGCTATAAAGGACAAGGTTCCTGACCATCAGATATGAAACATCCTATATAGTAAGGGACATCAGGCAACCCTAGAAGGGCGAGGCTTTATCCTTGCCTGCCTTTTCCCCTAATGCAGCAGTTCCCAACCTGTGGTCTGTGGACCACCAGTGGTCTGCAAGAACTAAAATATGGTCTGCGTCCTCCCATTACAACACTGTTGCAATGAGAGTGACTGGTCTCGCGAAACCCTCTTATAGTGCCAAGGATTATTAAATATAGTTTTCTGTGGGCGAGCAGATGGCTGCAATGGTATATGTTCTGTATCAGAAACTAGAGTTGATGTGATCTATCCAATCCAATTTTCTGAATCAGCATCCCAAATAACCAAAACAAATCTAAAGTTGGCCAAAAACTGATTTGTAACCCTTTTGGTACTAAAGTTGGAGAGTGGACCCTGTTCAAATAGTCCCTGGTTAAAAAAAGGTTGGGAACCACTGCCCTAATGGATGTAAACTATGATTGCATGCTGAATTCATTTTGCAGCACTTAAAATAAGCAAAGGGCAACAGAAACATTTTAAAAGCAGTTGAAAAAGTGGGGTGATAGGATTAATCAGGATTGTAGGGATTGTTGGAGAGCATGCTGAACATGTCCAAAGTGTTAAAGTAAAAAACAAATGTGTAAGTCCCACAAAACAGTTAAAAGACAGTATGTTTTCCTCTCTGAATGCTATTCATTAATTTGAGGAAGCCTACAGAGTTTTTTCTTTTTCTTTACCACATACCCTCTTGTAGACAAAGACAAGTCTTAGGTCTAGTTCTTGGTAGGTAGATCTCATAGTCAATACTGGAAGCCACATTAGCTGCTGTAAACCATCTTAATTGTATAAATTTAGTAAATATGATTTGTCTTTTCATTGAAAGTTGTATTTTTAATTGAAGGCAGTCACTGATATCCCCATGCATCTGTCTTTTGAACTAAATTACAGAGCAAATAGATGGCTTGTAGCTCAATGCAGATTTAGCAAGTTTTAAAAATAAGTCTGCTGAACACACTGTGCATGCTGAATCATTCACAACAATGCGGTATGTGTCTCTTATGGATTTTTAATACTTATCTTTCATAGATATTGCTTTTCTAAGTGGATTCTGTTTGAATCTAATTTGGTTTGTTGCCTTCTGATGTTTTGTATGCTGCCTTGGGAATTTGACCGAAGGGATGTCTGTAATAAATCCTTATAATGAATAATTGTGTAAATACCTGCTATTCGGTGGTTGTTAAGAATTCTGGTTATACAAATATAGTTGTATATAACTGAAACTACCAATTATTACAAACTATTTCTGATTTAATTATGAGTCTTATCAATTATTGTAACTAAGAAAAACACTGAGACTTCACTGGCTAGAAAACTTTGGGTCTGTTTAAACTAATTTAAAAACAAAGCAGAGCAAGTTAAAGTATTAGCTTCACAACCTTCTACAGCTATTAGCTTAGCCTGAAATGTTAGGTAAATCTACGTGAAAGTAACTTCCATTGAATACAGTAATACTTCTGAGTAAATATGCACAGGATTAGTCTATTAAAGCAGAAACATGTTTATAATCTGAATAAATATGGTGGAACAAATTTGGGGTGGTATCCTGGGACTACATTCTGGAAAGAAACTCAATTAGGCTTACTCCTAAGCATATATGTATCGTGTGTATTTATGTCTGTGTATATATCTCTATCTATCTATCTATCTATCTATCTATCTATCTATCTATCTATCTATCTATCTATCTATCTATCCATCTTGTGCCAGGAGTGACTTGAGAAACTGCAAGTCACTTCTGGTGTGAGATAATTGGCTGTCTGCAAGGATGCTGCCCAGGGGACACCCAGATGTTTTGATGTTTTAGTGTCCTTGTGGAAGGCTCCTCTCATGGCCCCATATGGGGAGCTGGAGCTGACAGAGTCAGCTCATCTGCACGCTCCCTGGATTTGAACCAGCAGCCTGTTGGTCTTCAGTCCTGCCGGCAAAAGGGTTTAACCCATTGCGCCACCGGGGGCTCCTAAAAGCAGCTGAAAAAGAGAGATGGCAAAAGATTAATCAAATGGTTCTTCCACATATTTTGGACTGCAATTTCTACAATTCCTTGCTCTATAAACACTAGATTTTTTTTTATCGTGTCAGAAACTGCAAGTCGCTTCTGGTGTGAGAAAATTGGCCGTCTGCAAGGACGTTGCCCAGGGAATGCCTGGATGTTTTGATGTTTTACCATCCTTGTGGGAGGCTTCTCTCATGTCCCCGCATGAGGAGCTGTAGCTGACAGGGGAGCTCATCCGCGCTCTCCCCGGATTTGAACCTGCGACCTGTCGCTCTTCAGTCCTGCCAGCACAGGGGTTTAACCCACTGCGCCACCGGGGGCTCCGTATATAAACATGATATATACTATAAATAATTTTACACAGCTGTTAGATTCTAAGTCTATAGATCAAGCTTGTTTAAAATCCAAAAGGGTGGTCGTCTTGAAATGTGATGATATCTGATTTCACCTGTAGAATCAATTGCCTTTCTCAATCTTGATAGAGATGGGTTGGCTACTAATAACGTAGCATCGGGATTGTGGCGCAGCTGGCTGAGTGTCAGCTGCATTAAGATCACTCTGACCAAAAGGTCATGAGTTCGAAGCCAGCCCGGGTTGGAGTGGGTTTCCAACCAATTGTGTGTAGCCTGTTGTCGACCTTTGCAACCCGAAAGACAGTTGCATCTGTCAAGTAGGAAAATAAGGTACCACCTTAAAGTGTGGGGAGGCTAAATTAACTGATTTATGAGGCCATAAAGAAGACTCCAGCAAAGCATTCCAGCGGGGAAGCATGTGGGGAATGCGGAAATGCTTCATCAGTGTCGCAGATGGACAATGAAAGTGACCGCTCCCCTGGCAGCCAGTTAAATAGCCTCTGTGTATGTCTGTATATGTTTGTATGTCAAAAATTGGTATTGAATGTTTGTCATATATGTGTACACTGTAATCCGCCCTGAGTCCCTTGCGGGGTGAGAAGGGCGGAATATAAAATCTGTAAATAAATAAATAATATATAAATATCCATTGTCTTTAGCCATTGTACATGGACCCTGATATATCTTGGAGCAGAAGTGCCAAGCAATAACGACAATCCTCATATCTGAAGAAATCAAGTTTAGAGAGTATTATGTAGTGAATGGCAGCATCTGGAGGCTTGTGCATGGTCTGTCTTGAATGAGGATAATGCTTTTTCTCTCTACAGAAAAAAAAATCCTTCCCTGAAAAGTCATTTTCCATAGTATACAAAAAAGAAACACAGGCATGTGGTCCATTAACAAAAACTTTTAAAAATCTATCTGGGAAATTCCTAGCATAGCAAATGTACTTATCCTTTCTACCTTCCCATATGTTTGTTTCTCCTTTAAACTCTCTCAGAAGGAAATTCAGCTGAAAAGCAAGTTGCGTGTTCCCTTCATGCTTTGAAGCAAAACGGGATGTGTGTATTTCCCTCACAGAGCAATCTTCGTATTCGGATTGCAGAAAGTTGCAGACCTTGTTGACTCAGGCCAAGGGAAGGACAATGCAATCACAACCCACAGAAATAGCCTATTGCTTTAGGAGCCTGGTTTGGATCAGGGTCTTAGCTTGCAGTGAGGAAGATTTATTCTAGGTACTTACCATTCAAATTGCTAAGTAATTATCTATTTGCATATCAGGTGACTACTTTGCAATATAATTGCAGGGCTAAACACATCAAAACACACCAGAACACCAGAGGGTTAGAGCTTATCCTAAATCCCTGAACAGATCAGTACAATTTTTTGTGGTTACTTTAGAAAACAAGAAAAAAAAGGAATTCACTACTAGTACTTCTTTAAAGTAATATCTGCTTTGATCTTGAGCTGACAATCAAAATGTAGACTCCAAGAAGCAGAAAGACTTCAGGCAAAGTGCCTACAGCACCTTCAATATCATATCACTCCAAATAATTGTGGGAAAGTGAAATGGAGACTATACCCAACTGCCTGGCGCTGTTTGAAACACCAGGCCAAGAGAATAAACAAAACAAAACAGCTTTACTAGGGCATTAATACTGCAGCAAGTGTCTCAAACAACCCTGATGCTGACGTCAATCTTGAAAGAATAATTAGATAATAATTTCAAGAGTGTTTTATAAATGATGCCATGTCTACACCTTAACATGATGATTGGATTGCCAATGATAATAACTGTAATTAAAACTTTCTGAATCACACCAAGGGTGTGTGTTGTGTTGAAAAGTAAAGATGTGAAAATGTGAAAAAAGAATAGGAACTTGTAAATACAGATCCATGACTATATACTCAAGACTGTTTGGGACTCTTTCCTGTAAAAAACAAAAAAGGCAGGTGAGATTCCAACTGCAATCATACCAATGGTGCTGGGGAATGGAAAGTTTAACCCTTTCCTCCTGTATTGTTCCTGTATTGGAATGGGAGAGGCATAGAAGAAAATTAAATACATTCTCTCTTGGCACCTCTGCTGTAATCGCCTATCATCCAAATGGCCCAATTTGACAGAGACTACCTTGATTAATTATCTGTTGTTTTACTTTTTTAGCTGCTTAAAAAATGTCCCAAATTCTCTCTCCTCCTCCCACTTTCCCCTTTTTGTCCTCAGGTTTGCTTCACTTGCCACAATGTCCAACAGTAGTTTGCACTCCATTAATTGAACAGCAAAGAGAGAAGGAAGAGCTTTTCTCAGTAAGCTCTGTCAAAAGCAAACCGCCACACTCTCTGCTGTGTTCTATATTCTCCCTTATTGATGCTCTTTCCAGCTTGACCAGACTCTTATGCTGTTTTGCCATATATGCCCTAATTTTCATCTGCAAAATGAAACATCTGTAGTCAGTTTTAGGGCTGCAAGACCTATTTAGAAAAAATCCAGCTGTGGCTATTCAGTACAAAGATAAGCCAGCTAATGTTAAATATTTCAAACTCTTACTGGCTTAAAACGGTTGATCACATACCCATTATAACTAATTTGTTTCTTAACGCTTTGTGTATTGATTTTTCAATTTTTGCTAGTGAAGCTGTATTATTTGCTGACAATAAACTGTGCTCAGACCTGCATAATCCATAGCCAGATTGGTTTAATTAGGTTTAAATCCTGAGCCATGATGGCCAGTGTTTTGCTTATGAATTCAGCTAGACAGTATAATTTCTCCAGCGGTGTAGAGTGTAGACATCCTGTGCTAATGCAGCATGTCTCATTAAGAGCCATATCCACTGTTTTAACATGGTGAGATGTATTCCATACTGGACATGCGTATTCAGCAGAAGAGTAGCAAAGCGCAAGGGCAAATGTCTTAACTGTGTCTGGTTGTGATTCCCAGGTTGTGCCAGTCAATTTCTGTAAATTGTTTCTAGCACCCACTTTTTTGCTTAATATTCAAGCAATGCCTCTTGAAAGTCAGAGCACAGTTTAGGGTAACTTCCAGATATTTTGGTGTGCTCCATTGGGATTCTTTCCCAGGTAATCCTCAGAGCTTGAGATGCTTATCTGTTCTTAAGATGAAAATCACATGTCTGCATTTTAGATGTATTGGGTTTTCCCTGTAATAGGTAGAAAGAGCACCTAAAGCTTTGGAGAACGTCTGTTCAACCATTTCAAAGCTCACTGCTTGAGCAGTGATGGCACAGTTGTCAGCATAATGAAATTCTTGGTCCTTTCTGGCAGTGGCTGATCATTTGTGTAAATGTTAAACACTGATGGAGCATGCACATTCTCCTAAAGTAAGCCAATCTTCTGTCTTCACCATCTGTTTCTCTGGCCCTGGAACTCAACA